CCCCAAAACCCCAAAACCCCAAAACCCCAAAACCCCAGGCTTTAATAAATATATTGGATAGTATTTATAAATGGGAGGAAATATCTGTAGAAGCAAGAGTACCAAGAAGATGCCTTTCGTCGATAGGATCGTGCTCGGTCCCATGGAGTCATACTCACAATATGGCCATTTTCCATGGCACTTTTTGGCACATATCCTTTGTCTTGTTTTTATTACTGCACAGATAATGCTAATCATAGCTCCAACAGGAGAGTACACTTCAACACAAATGCGAGTTATTTACCGAATGTTCCTTGACCCAGAAGATAGTTTCGAAGGAATGGACTATCTAAACTTTCGGCACTTCTTTGACTATGAAGAACTAAGAGAATATGTCAAGACTTCCATCAAAACTTATTATGATCTTCCGAATCTTGGCAAGTTGGAGCAATATAGACACATTTATATCCACAATGAAGGGCAGGAGATAGACGTCATCGAGCCACCAACCATTGAAGCTCTATTTATAAGGAGCAGATTTAGAAAAGCTTTCCCAGAGATGAACTTCAGACCTACTCCTGATGATTTTGGTCCATTCGATCTTCCAGGGAACCAGTTGAGACTATTCTTATCAAACCTGACAAATTTTCAGATAAATTATAGAATAAAGCATCGGTTGCCAACCTCGGCAGCTGCTCCTTTCGACTGATTTATTTGGACTGTTTCTCAAGACTTCAGTTTCTTTGATAGAAACCATGTTACCCAAAGAGTAGACCTGGATAGAAGTTATTGCCCAGCAGGAGAAACTGGAACTGATTTCCTCAGCAGATACATATGGCTAAATGTAATCGTTATCGCTGTCTCCCTCGCCTCAATCATTGCTCACTTCCTCCTCCTTGCTGATATGAATAGACACTTCCACCAAATGATCGAGCAGTATATTGACCACAGAAAGAAGGAGAGAACCAAGCTAAGGAAGGATTTAAAAGAATTCGAAGAGGAAAGTGAAATGGAAAATTCTTTAATTCCTGGTCTTACTCAATCTCAAAAGATTGGTCCCAACAATAATTTTGCTCGAGCTACTATGTTGTACGAGACTGTTGTAAAGGAACGCAAGATTCCAGACCATGACAAGATTGATGACCTTGAGCAAGATGACATTAATTTGATTGAAGGTAACGATTCTTTGATACAACAAATATCTATCTTGGAGAAATTCACTATGGCTGGGAAATCCCATTCGGTTATATGGGTCTTTTCAATAATTATTGCAGAGATCATGAACATCATCGGCTCTATTTTCCTGACTATAAATACAGTGAACACTGTCAGATCTGCAGAGGTCTTGCTAGGGTTTGGATCCCTGATAATCTGGGGCTCAATGATAAAATATAGTGAGAATTATAAAGGATACAATATCATCACGAACACCATGATCAACTCTATATGGGCATTAGTGAAGGCATTCATTGGAGTATTCCCGCTTATAATAGGGTGTACTCTCATGGCTCATTGCTTCTTTAATCCTCACAATAGGTACGCAGGGGGAGCTTATTCGTTCTTCTCCCTCTCAGCGCTGATGTTTGGGGATAGTATTTTCGATATCTGGTACCAATCAATGATACATGTGATCTTCTTCTCACAGATTTTCTATTACATCTTCGTGTTCATCTCTATCAGTGTGATTATCAACGCATTTGTGATGATTGTTGGAGACGGATATGAAGACTCTAAGGATTATGAGAAACACGATTGGATTGATAAGGAACTTCCAGAACCTAAAACTAATCATGAAAAGAAGATCTACCTCTTCATGAAGATCCTTCAGAAAGATTTTGAAATTTGCAAAGAAGCTAACATCCATCACAAAATTGAAAAATTGGAGAAGAAGGAAGGCAAAAAGATTTCCAAGACTGAAGAAGAGCTTTTTGAAGAAGAACAAGCTGGCAAGTCTATGGAATACCATACTCGGAAAGTTATCTCCTTGCTTGGAGAGATCAAAGAGGCATATGAAGAGGAGAAAGATGAAGGTGATAACCAATTCATTGACCAACAATACCACCAGCTTTGAGAGGATATAGACGAAATTCTCAAGAATAATAAACCTCTTGATGATAAAAGCTTCTACTTTTAACCAAAAACATAAGGTTTTGTTCAACTTTTAGCCATGATCTTGGGGTTTTGGGGTTTTGGGGTTTTGGGGTTTTTGGGGTTTTGGGGTTTTGGGG